TTTTTCTTTAGTTTACGGTGGTATCAGCATCCTACTGAAGAAGAACTACGGATTCTTGCAGGGAAACAAAGAGGGAAGACCAAAAAAGATAGGTAAATACTTGTTTTAAGATTTTTTTCTTTTTTTTTTTTCCCCAGCATGATCCATATAATAACTTTGCCAGCAAACTTTTAGTTTTGTGTGAGTTAAAAACTGCTAGTTGCATATGACTGCCTTGCTTGCATTAATTGTCACAGCTCCGTACTGAACTGTGTTCTTTCGGTTTAACAGAGAGTTGAATATGCCCAAATTGTGCAGGACTGGATGATTTCCACCTCACAAAACTGGTCTGTGAAATTGCTAATTTGGTGGCAAGGAAGTTTTTTAGTGAATATATTAATTTGGATGAAAACTGAGGAAAGCAGATCTTCTATAGGATTGAAAACATCGGTGCCTTATCAATTTTGTTCCCATCCTAAATCCAAAACATAGCACTGTACCAGCTACTAGGAAGGAAATTAACTCTATCCCTGCTGAAACCAGGACAGAAATTGCTAATTTGGTGGCAAGGAAGTTTTTTAGTGAATATATTAATTTGGATGAAAACTGAGGAAAGCAGATCTTCTATAGGATTGAAGCTCTTCATGTTGAAGCAAGAGAAGAAAGATCTGCGTATATTAGTTCAGCATAGGATTACTATGAACCACCACTCTTAGACAGCTGTGAGGAAGGTAAATGTGCTCCTAGGATGTATTAGGTGAGGTATTTCTAGTAGAAGAGATAGGGAGATTAATCCTCCTGGACGAGGCACCAATGTAGAACTTTATCTGGATTACTGTGTACAGTTCTGATCACTCATGTTCAAGAAAAATGAATTTGTATGTGAACAGGTGAACAGAGGGCTGCTAGGATCATCCAGGAAACAGAAAGTCTGTCTTACAAGAGGACGCTAAAAGAGCTTGGCTTGTTTAACCTAGCAAAAAGATGACAGAGGGATGGGATAGCTGTCTATCAGCTTAAGGCAGAAACAGATTTCTGATGTTCAGGCATGAAGTTCTGGAACAGCCTTCCAGAAGTACAACTGCGGCAAGAACCAAGACATCTTGAGGTGGTGGAGCTGCTACGTTGATGCAAGATTTCTGAATTGGTTATGTTTAAAACAAACCAACCCTTCTGGCTTTCTTTTTGGTCATGTAGGAGCTTTCCTTTAGTCCTTTTTCTTTTATTCTAGAATGAATTTTCTTATAATCCACAAACTGCACATATGCTCTGTTCATTGTAATATGATTTTTTTTTTCTGTTTCGTAGTTCTTAAGCTACATGGTTAGCAACCTTATTTGCCACACTTTGGGGTAAAGAATTAAGTTGTTCCTTTAATATTAAATAATTTTAATTTTACATGTTTGTTGCAATATTGTTTCAAATTCAGAAACTAATTTTATCTAACAGTTTTCTGTAACAAATTGAGGCAAAATAATTGTGAATAGCATTACAATTTATAACTGTCCATTTAACCAGTAATATTTATTCATATATAAAATTAACTTTAAATGCGTAACTATAGCTTTAAGTCCACCCATAGGAGGCTTAAACAGAAAAACACAATTGCATTGCCAAATAATAATTGTACATTGCTCTTACTGCCTTTCTTCAGTCTTGCCAGTGTTTTGCCATCCAAAACATGTGTGTTCTCACTTTCACCAGAGCAATTACATGCTCTCAGCTGAGTGGAAGCATGGCATGTTAATGTGTACTGACATATAAGCTTAAATTTTGTAATCTTTGGAAAATTAACTGTGAAATTTAGTAGGAACCTGTATCACAAGTCTCCTATATATGCATTAAGTCCTTTTTCAGTTGGTAAACTTCTACATTTAATGTTTCAAAAGTGATGCTATGTTTTCATGTCTGTGCAGTCAAATTTTGTTGGTGTGATTTAGTTATTATGATTGATATAATTATCTTACTATATTAACATGTAAATTGTAATAGTTGTAGGTAGTTGTTTGTACTAGGGTAAATGTTAATCACAGGGGGATATGAAACTTCAAAAGAAACCAGGATGGTAGTGTGGAGGCTTAAGTGATGCTTTCTTTGCTTTGCTGTTGTAACAACAGAATGAATAATACATTCACTTTTTAGTCAATAAATACACCTCTGTGTCCTCTAAAGAAGTGGCTGTTGTTGGAGGAGAACCGTAGTTTAAGTAGGAATTGTTCCTGTTGAGTTGGTTTGGAGGTACCGTTCTAGGTTGGACAAAACGGAATGCAGTGCTCCTTTGAGCCAGGGAGATGTGAAACAGATGGTGTAGGAGAAATAAGGACGCATCTATTTGATTTTTCCCCAGGACTTTTCAAGATAAAGACTTTGCTTTGTCAAGCCCATAGTCTTGCAAAATGTAGTAGTACCTGCTCCTTACTTAAATACTTTTCCAATTTGAACTAATTAAAAGAGAAATGGCAGAAGGAGATCCAAGGAACTTGCTTGAAAGTGAGCCTTAGAAATAGCTGTAGTGTGAATTTGTAGTCCATTTTATTCAATGCATATTACACTTTAGTGTATTATGCTATAGGTTATAATAGTGCATGAATATTAGGCAGATTTTCTATTTCAGAATAGTTTGTGTTACGTTAAATTGTTAGGCTAATGAAAAGGTCCATAGCTACTATGAATTACTTTGAATTAAAGCTGTCAATGATCCTGGGTATGTTCTGTGTCTCTTGGATTATGGGTCCCCTGGGGTAATTAAAGTGCAGGAACACCAAATTTTGTTGAGCTGAAATGGCTTCAGTTATCAAAACGCTCATCTTACTCAAGATGATGGTACTCCTGGGTGTGTGCAGTAGGAAAACATCAAGAGTACAACTGGGGGCAGGGAAGCACACAGAAGCTTGCTGGGAAGCCCAGTGTCTGGGCAGTGTTTGGAACCTCTTGTTTAGACTTGAGCACCTGAATTTTTTCAGTAATGCTTTAGATTGCTATGCTGAGTTTTCAGTTCGTCCATTAAAATTCTTGCGCTTCGGATGATATTAAGAATTAATATCACCTGAAAAAAATACTATTTATTAACGCTTTCTGCTTGTATACTCATCTCACAGGTTAGCTGAGAGGACATAATTCCTTAAAAATAAGTTCATGATTGATTTAATTTCTTTTTAATGCTTATGTCCCACTAACTTGTCTTTCTATAGAAAATCCAGCACTCCTTTTCTAGTTTCAGAGGTACTATTCTAAAATCTGGCAGAGTTTACTGTTTCCTTCTAGCCATTTAGGGGTTTTAAGTTTTGGTTTTGATTTTTTTTTTTTTTAACCTAACAAAACATTTTCTGATCTGCTTTAATGACTTTTTTTAATAGTGATGAGGTAAGTTTTACCCTAGTTAGTAATGGTAGTCTCTCAGCCCAATTTCATGTAACTTGACTTTGTTCAGGTTCTTTTAAGAGGATCTTGTTTTCCTAAATTTAAAGTCTAGTAGTGTGGCTTATTTTCAGGAAAGTGAAGACCATGATGTTGGCATAGTTTCAGAGTTCCAGATGAAAATGAGGCTTTTAGTCTAAATAAGTCATCTTTTATGGTCTTTACACATATCTCTGCTGTGAAAAATGAGTTCCTTAAAGACGTGTTAGATCTAAGCAACAATTTGGAAAACATAGGCTAACTTCATGTTATACATATAAGACGCACTTTTGTTCATACCGTATTTCAAAGATGATTCAAAGAAGATTTCAGTAGAACTGGAAAAGGGGAGTAATGGTGGCTAGAAGAAAGGCTTCCACACAAGGAGGAGAGGTGGAAGGCTTACTAGTCTGGGAACCGGCTGCGGGAGGGTTTTGCAGCAGGTATGTATCCAGTGTGCACAGAGGATGGATAGGGGGTAGTAAACTTACTACTATGTTGTACAAGGAGGCAACAAACGACGTTAGAGTGGATTTAAGGACTTCTCAATTTGGGACATACGTTGTGGAACTTGGTGCCACAAGACACTACGCAGCTCAACAAATTTCAGACTGGTTCAGAAAGGGATTAGGCAAATTCATGTAAGTTTTGAAAAATGGTTTCAGAAGATGCGATCCCTGGCTGAGATTATCCCCAAGTTGCTTAATGCTGGAAGCCAGGAAGAGTTTAGCAGTGTGAGGATCAACCTTTGGTTGCCTCATTCCTTCCATTTGTATAAGCAAGTAGCCCCCTGTATGATAGCAGCAAATGAATCTGCGTGTTACTCTTTATGAAGCCCCCCTGTACCCTTTCATGCTCTGCAGCAACGGCTAAAACCTGGAACACAGCTTTGAACCTGGTGCTGTATCGCCATGTACTTAGCCTTGTCTGTCTCCCCAAAGAGAGCACGATGGATTATTTCTTTTCAAGATGTACTGGATCTCTAGGATTGCTAGTAATACTGCGATAAATTTTTTTTTTCTTTTCTTGTTTTCGTAAGCAGGGTATGAATTGAAACAAGTCTGTAGTATTTCTACACATACCCTTTTAGATCAGAAAACTATCTTAAAATTGTCTTTGCTTGATGGTTAGTAGGATGGATCTTTCAAGGATCTAGGTTAGTCCAGCTCGTGTAACGTACTTGCTAAGCACGCTGTTGTGACAAAAAGGCCTAATGCTTTTTGGGGGAATTTGTTTTTTACTTTTTTTCCTTACCGTCTGTCTTCCGAGATAGATTACTGCTTGTTGTTACTTCGAGTGAACGTTCAATAAATTAACACTGCCAAGTCTGTCTGTCTTTTTTTGCTTACTTTCAATCCAAAGACTTTCGTCTTTCAGCATCCTGGTCTAGACCTCAATTGAAAAGTCTCAGTTTAGCTTTGATTTTCTTCAGGGTATCTGTATGGCAGGGTGGATATATTCTGCTCTGTAGCTGTACTTGTATCACTAACCTTTTGAGACTGTGGGAACTTACTAGAACACACTGTAGCTCCCTGAACAGAGAGAATCAGTGGGTTGAAGTAAATACTGGCCACCGGATCTTGCCCTAATACATGCTCAGGATGCAGCATATAGAAGCCATTTAAACCCATACCACAGCAGTATGTCAGAGACTTGCAAGATAAAGCTAGGAATCATTGACGTACCTGGTTGTTTCTCAAGATTTGAACTTGAATTAATGCTTTTAGCTAGCCAGATAAAAATGTTTGCATTTGGCAAAAAAGTGGTCTGCACTTTCCTTAAATTTGAAATGCTATTATATATTGAAAAAGTCTATTTTGTCATATCCATGTGTCTATTATCTATTTATTTATTTATTTTTACAGAAAATATAATGGTCATATTGAAAACAAACCCCTAACCATTCCAAAAGACATTGATCTTCATCTGGAAACAAAATCTGTGACTGAAAGAGACACTATTGGTAAGAAGTAGATGCAGACGATAATATATTATTTCAAATATATCCTGATTCTTTCTATCAAGTGTTTATTTGCAATGAATGCTGGTATATCTTTTTTTATAGACAATGAATGAATAGAAGTACAACTGATAATAAAGTTAAATGAAAAGGCAAGAATTACGGCCAAGTCTCCTTTGTTGTTCCATGGGTGACATCTTAATAGCAGCATTATAGAAAAGGATGAGTAGGTGAAATCCAGCATAAAGCACATCTATTGTTGTATCAGGCATCCATAGCAATATGAGATAACACCGAAAGGATCACATCATAGGCTATTTGAAATAGACATCATAGCTTTGTACAAGAAAATGACAGTTGGCAGATGTCGAAACATACACTTTCTGCTCATCTAAATGCTGTAGACTTTTTAAGTCTGAAAACCTAAACTTTTCAATCACACATCTGAAACATGCTTAGAAACTGAAAGTGACAGTACAGAAATAAGCAGCATTAAGTGTTTTGGAAGTTGCCATTTTTTTAAATGGTAATTTTTGATTCCTTAATCGTAACCAGTCATTCTGTTACAGAAGACTCATAGGTGGATATGTATGTATATGTGATACGTGATACGTGTTTTCTTCCTATCTACATTTTTATATCAGAAATAAGCAGCATTAAGTGTTTTGGAAGTTGCCATTTTTTTAAATGGTAATTTTTGATTCCTTAATCGTAACCAGTCATTCTGTTACAGAAGACTCAAAGGTGGATATGTATGTGTATGTGATACATGTTTTCTTCCTATCTACGTTTTTATATGCATGTGTTCCTACGCATAAATATAGAAAGAAGGGAAGCATAGTCCTATGCAGGAGATTTCTCAGCTTAAATTATCGGGGGCAGTGTAGAAAATACCTTTAACAGAAATGCATTTTTTTGAAGCTGACAAATAAACAAAGCATTCACAAGTTTCAGTTAGTGTTATTTGCTTGAAATTATAGCATTTAACTATCTCCCTGAGTATTTATAGATACTGATACAGTGTAGGATTTAACTGTCTTTAAAAAGTTACGTATACAAACTTGTTAAATCTACCCAGGTAGTTATTTCAAAATAAGTATAGGACTCGGAAATACCTGAGTTTGGCCAATTTCGTGTTTGGCATCAGGTAGCTTGTAGTCAACAGACAAATGCTCAGTAATGTTTTGTGACTTTTTAACCGTGTAGATGTAGGGAAGGTGTTTGGGAGGGACTGGCTGCACTTCATTGTCACAAATTGTTCCTTCCACTTCCCAGCACCTATGGGAGCTCTCTCTTTGTAAATCACCCAACCTGCATGCAACACGGTATGATCCTCGGAATTTTTATAGTGGAATTTACATAATGATTTATTGCTGTACAGGAGATACTAACAAAATCTGGAAGAACAAACCATTAGTATCTTAAATGTTAGTTTTTTAAAGAAAAAGAGGAAGTGGTTATATGTAGTGTTTTAAATGATTGCCAATGAACTTTTAATCTTTAACAGAGAGTCAAAAAAACTCTTAACCTGGAATTGCAGCCAGCCTCAACTGGAGAACCATTTTCTGTCATGATGTTGAGATCTAAATTGTGCTGAATTTAAAAAGCTCTGAATGTGCTTTTTGAATTTAGGATGTTAATGTATAAAAGCTGAGATGAGAAAATAGTAAAATCTTGTAGCCTTATAAATTTGAGTAGTAATCAAGTATCGAATAACGGAAGTGAAGAGTGAAGTTCAGGTTGTTGAGTGGAAAAAATGTGGCTTTTTTGCTCTTGTTGCTCTTCACTTGGATGATCTGTGTCTACCTAGACCTCAGTTAATTGAAAACATTTTTTAATTGTCACTCCATTCTATATGTCAGTAACTGCCTTAAAATACCACACCTTTAACATTTGCAAACTTGTGTTTTTCAGCATTGCATTATTTTCCGGAATATCAGTGGTTGGTGGATTTCACTGTTGCGGCTACAGTTGTGTACGTGGTGACGGAAGCCTATTACAGTATTGTGAAGCCCTCACAAGAAATGAATATCAGCGTAGTGTGGTGTCTGCTTGTCTTGGCTTTTGCAGTGTATCCTTTTCTGTTTTCTTAAATCACTGTATCTGTTCCAAATAGTTTACATCATTCTGCAATTCATGTAAAGCTCGGTATTGTTGATTGGCAGGATACACAAATATCTGGCATTTGGAAAAAGGATTGTGTAAGCTGGTGCCGTTGTTGGGTAATGTATATGCTGTACATGCTGATATCAATAGCTTGTTGACATTAGTACCAAACCATTTATGGAAAAAATGCATCTATGTGAACATACAGTTATTGCTCATCTGTAGTATGTAGTGGTTCTGAACTAATTTGGTTTTGCCCAGTTCGGCAATCAGAAATAGACTTCTGTACAGAAAGTAGTTACAACTTTTGGAGAAGTGTGCAGTTTACAAAGTGCACACTTTGTTTTCAGTATGTTTAATCTGATACTTCCTGAACAAAATACTACAGTAATGTGTATACTAATCTATTGCAAAGATACATGCATGAATTCATGATTTTAAAATACATTCAAGACACTTCTACAAAGTTTACAGAAAATAAAATGTGTAGACAGTTGTAAGAGTCGAGGTGGTACGTTTTCAAAGCTCTGTGAAAAGCTGAACACCCCTCTGAAACTGAGGGAAACAAAAGCGGAGTATTTAGGAAACAGGCAATATCAAACCATAAAAAGAAGTGGCTGTTATGTATGTTTTTACTGGAGAAGGCAATATCAGACATGGATGCTTGCACGGTAATTAACTGCTTTCCACGTACCAATCCAGATGTACACTTTAGGGAGGAAAGTTGCCTTTTAAAGACGTGATAGGTGATAAAGCAGTGGAATTGAATAAGGGCCTGCAAGAGTGCAGGTTATGGAAAGGTGAGTTAGAAAATGAATTTCTGCAACTCCTCTGCTCCCTCAACAGCTGACAACCAGATAAAGTGCTCAGTTAGGGTCGATATAGCACTTGAATATTCAAAATTGATTCCTCTGTATAAATGCCTGTTCTTCAATACAGATTCTTACTGTGTTGTGGGTTTTTTTAGGTTTTCTTTTTTGGTGTTAGCAATAGCCAGTGGAGTTACGTAAAACCCTTGAACTCCAATGTTTGGTTATATTTGGCTAACAGTTCTGGATATGCTTAATGCTTGTCTGTACTTGATAATTATTAAAATGTGTGCTGCCTTTACGATAAGGGCAGGAATTCTTTTTCTAAGTAGCCTGAAGTATAAATGATATCCAGAATTTTCCTTGTAACGAGTAAGAGCTTGCTAGAAAAGGGAATCGTCTCACACTATGAAGAAAAGGACTGTCCATGGCTTGCTTCCAGACCAGGTATTTCTCCTTCCACTTGTCAGTAGGCAGATCCACAGTCCAAAAGGTGTTTTTCTAGTCTACTAGGTAGTGACAGGAAAGTTAGTGTCTGGCTTTTGTGCACCTTATAATGATATCATAGCTATATTATAGCTAACATATAGTTGTTATTGCACAGCCTTTGTTTTATTTGTTTGGGTGTCAGGAATTCTAGTTTAATCTTGGCAGAGGGAAGGAGAGAGAAGCAGCTACTGCTTAAGAAATCAGAAATGAAAGCCAACACCTTTGACTCCCATTTTGAGGATGAGGGGGAGGTTAATAGAACTAATGGAAAAACAAGCTTCAAATACTAAAGCCACAGTGGGCTCTTAAATTTATTGGTGGCAATGCCCCATTTACTTCATCTTTCAAATCTCGGGTGTAGCCAACTTAATGCTACAGTGATTGCAACTCTAGGTGAAACAGAGTTGTGAATTATATATTGTAGGAAAATCCACTGCAATAATTCATTCTTACAGTGATATTTGAATACGGTCCTAATCAGTGCTTTCATTTGGTCATCAATTCAAGGCAAAACCAAATGCAGAAATTAAGAAAGATTAAGTTGCCTGGCAGTGCAAGCTTTCTGTCTCAGTAGTGTGAACACACAAGTAACTATTAGGGTCTTTTTTTTGATTGTTTCTTTCTCACCTGCTATTTTATATGAATTGAGCCTAAACCAGCATTTCCAGTTTTACCCTTATCTGGCTGAAGCACTTGAGATCTAATTGCACATTTGGACCTGAAGGAGATTGAAACGGATCTAGTATTCCCTACATGTTAGAAGCACATTAGCTGTATTTTCTCACTAGCCTTCCTTCCTGACTGAAAGGGAAGTAAGATCAGCTAGAATAGTGTTAAAAGCAAAAGATCCTGTGCTAAAAGCTAATTTTTATTTAACAAGCCGTGAACAGTTAATTGCATGCTTTAGCATTTTTGTAACTAGGCACGTATTGTCTAAGGGACCAATATTGTTTTGAGTTTTTGGTAATAGGCAGTATACTTTAGAGAGAAAATTATTAAGGACTTCTATCAGTTTGGCGTGAAAGAAAGGTTAGAGAATTTGAAGTTTAAAATTCATGTCGCACTTACAAAAACGTATGCAAATTTGGGAAAGCCTAGAGAAGAATGGCCTGATAAATTCTGGGAAATAAGAAACCTCTATACAAGTGTAAACTTGTGTAAGTATAATTACTCATCCAGTACTAGGTAGTTGAACAGTCATTTATTAATTATACCAAGGAAACAAATGGTCAGAACTAGTTTTCTGCCACTTTGTGCAACTTTTATTTACTTTTTTTTTTCCTGCGGCATTAAATAGACCTTGTTTTTATTGGAGGTTTCTGCACAGAGTAGGCAATTTTGTAGAAATCCTTATGAAGTCACTGCTTCCTAATATTGAATAAGGTTTTGCTTAATTACGTGTATGGTTCCTGGACTGATGGGATGAAGTAGTGTGATCCTGTGCAGTCTGAGGAGTTAGTGGCAATGCAGAAGACTGCATTGCAGGAAGCACATTCTAAACTTTATATTAGCGTTAACATCTCCATAAATATGTTAATATAACTTATTCCAGGCATTGCAGCTTTTTAGGTGAAGGAGGGTGGTGCAAAGAGTGATACGCAGAGGTATTGATAAATCTTTGTGATCACTGGAACCTGGGCAGGTGAAAAGAGATTTCAGAAGAAAACTGGTTCATTCATGTGTTGTGACATCAGGCCTCTGGGATGCTGAGAATACTGTAAAACTTACACAACTATTTATTAATTCAGTATGTCAAGACCAGAAATGATTCATCATAATTTAAGTGTTAGAAAAATGTGGTTGCCTCCCTATTTTCAATTGAAAGCAGTCAACGTAATAGGTCAAGAATTCTAGAACAATTTTGTGTTCTGGTGACAGGTGTTTCTTCTGTTTCATGGCTGTGTGTTAAGAGGTGATAGGTTGTACTAAGGATTTGGCTGACAGAATGACCAAAAAAAGCTTAGAGAAGTTGGAAGTGATGACTGAAATTTGTCAGCTGTGTCTTCCAGAAATGGATATTTTGATTCAGTGCAGTAAACCACTATTAGCATTTTTTTAATGTTCATAGTGAAGATATTCAGAAAAATTCCAGAAACTAATCTAGTCTATATACATCTGTGTTCTAACAGAAGTTTAGTCTAAAAGAAGTAGTACATAAATTTAGTATTTGAGTTCCAGTGTTAGAGTATGTTGGAATTACATTGATGGTAGTTGTGCTAGGCACAACTAAGCTAGCTTTAAACGTATTTCATAGAATCATAGAGTGGTTTGGGTTGGAAGGGACCTCTGAAGGTCATCTAGTCCAACCCCCGTGCCATGGGCAGGGACATCTTCAACTGGGTCAGGTTGCTCAGAGCCCCATCCAGCCTGACCTGGAATGTTTCCAGGGATGGGGCATCCACCACCCCTGTGGGCAACCTGTGCCAGGGTTTCACCACCCTCAGCGTAAAACATTTCTTCCTTATATCTAGTCTCAATCTACCCCCCTTTAGTTTAAAGCCATTCCCCCTTGTCTTGTTGCAACAGGCCCTGTGAAAAAGTTTGCCGCCATCTTTTTTAGAAGCCCCCTTTAAGTACTGACAGGCTGCAAGAAGGTCTCCCCAAAGCCTTCTCTTCTCCAGGCTGAACAACCCCAACTCTCTCAGTCTTTCTTCATAGGAGAGGTGCTCCATCCCCCTCATCATTTTTGTGGCCCTCCTCTGGACCTGCTCCAACAGGTCTGTGTCTTTCTTATGCTGAGGGCTCCAGAGCTGGAGGCAGTACTCGAGGTGGGGTCTCAGCAGAGCAGAGTAGGGGGGCAGAATCCCCTCCCTCGACCTGCTGGCCACACTTTCATGTGCTGAAATGTTTGTGCAGCTGCATTAGCAGGTACCTCAGTGAAAGATGCCAGATTCCCCTGCCAGACTTGGGTAGATGCTCAAGTGGCAGCTCAGTCTAAGCTTACCCACTGTAAGGCTAGGGCAGGAATGTCTGCGTGTCTCCCTCGTTCTGCTGGACTGCAGTGTGAACAATACCAGCCTTGCAGTTGGTAGTGTGGGTAAATAGTTCCAGGACAGGGAACTCTCTTATTTTTAGCAGAACAGAAAAATAAATCTTTAAATGGCTAGATAGTTTCATGAAAACTCAAAGATGTTTCTTGGAGGCAGCATTTAGAAGACCTGCCATACCACCTGCTCAGTGTTTAATATTTTTGAAAGGCTGCAGGATACTGTGGTGGTTGATCACTTTTCATGCTGGTAGCCAGCGCTCACTGAACAGTTTCCAGTACTTGAAGAGGAGTAACAAAAGATCTTGCAAAACAAAGATGTTGAGGTTTTTTTTCAAGACAGATTATTGGTCACGACCTGCTGATTGTGTATTTTGGCTTAAAAATGAGTTTTGCAATGTTTCTTGCAAAAAGTAATGTTAATGTTTTCAAAAACATTGTGGTGTAGGCCACAATGTTTGAATTACTATTTTTTTAATTACTCTTTATTTACAGTTTGTTGCAGATAGTAACTATTGACAGATTGATGATTTCTATTATTTTGAAATTTGGAAAGGTGGCTTCTGTCAGAACAAATATTCAAAATTAGCAAACTGAATTATTGATCACGATTTTAAATGTAGCAGTTGCAGCCAGCTTACTTGCAAAGGATTGGTTTTGTAAAATAACAAAATGCTTTATTGGTGGGAGGAAGAGTGTGCATAAGGATAGAGTAAGATGGACAACACTGAGAGATGATCCATCTTAATAGTAGCGTGTGCCTAATTTAAATTACTGTACTTACACAGCTATTTAAAATTCATCATTGAGAAGAACTGAATAAGTCAGATTACTTAACTTTTTGTCTATAAGCCTTTAAACAGTGTTGTATGCGATCGTTTCTTGTTGCAAGGGCAAGGTATTTAGGGAAATTAATGTGGTATAGCAAGAGTAAGGTATTTCTCAGCTGGGAAGCTGTCTGTTACCTGAAAAGGTTTAAGTAACCTGATTTTACTGGTAGGTTAGTAAATTTCACGGGCTACTTTTGGAAAACATATTGATGGCATAGCAAAGGAAAGCGACAGTTTTTTCTTAACTTGACTGAAGGTTGATCTAGGGAAAGGCAGTCATCAAATATCTTAAAATAACCTCTAAGGCTTAAACTAATTTTTTCTAATAATACAGAGGAGTTTATTTGGTTTGCAGTTGTGAATCCAAAAGTTCTGTGTATTTTAATAGAAACAGAAGATGGATCTTTTTCTATTCAACCATGTGCATAAATACCAGTAGATTATATAACTCAAAAATTCTGTAATTGCAGCAATTTAAAAGATAAAATTAATTTTGTAAAAAGTATAAACCGTAAATTCTACAGGCATTTCACCTTTTGTGACCAAAAATAAAAGAGATAAAAGGTGGGGTGGGGAGGGTGGGGAGTCTATTAACTTAGCACTGTACACTCCCAAACTATTTCTTCAGTAGGTCCTGAAACGTACGTCAAGCAGTGAAAGGAAGTGATGAAGCGAGCCATAGTGCTTCGATTTTCTCCATCCCTAAAATAGGTAGCAGTGGTGATTATTCAACTAACAGAGGGTTTCAGTCACATACAGTTTGCATAATCATTAATTTATATATTAGGTTCTGAATCTGCACTATAATTGGAATTTACTGTCAGTATGCTTTCTTTTTCCTGGTTGCATTTTCCACGTCCTTTAGGCACAATCCATAGTTGAAAACATGAGGTACCTAGGGGGTAAATCTGTTTATAGGGTAGGACTATTGATCACAAACTGTTACGAAGTCCTTTGTATAACTTCAAGATTTGAAATTAATGTGTTTTCAATTTGTGATCAATGTCCCTAGCTGTAAAATGACACTTGGTTTAATAATGTATTATTAGAGATACAGAGTTTTCCAGAACACAATCTGTATGACCTATTATGTACCTCTTTTTAGGATGAGGTGAGTCTTCCATTAGATATATCACTTCTTTCTGTGAAATATGAAGGGAGCTTAAGTTGATTACTGTGAGCTTAGAGTTATTAGATGCTGTGCTTAGGCTGCTTTATTGCGTGCATATGAATACCTCTCCGCATATACATGAAATACAGCAATGTGTATAAAGTGTGATATTGCATAGTCGTATAGTTTCTTGAGAGAGTAACTGAAGGCTGTTCAAATGTTTTACTGAATAGATACTCTAAAACATGTTTTCATGTAATCTACATCTTAAAATACTTCCAGTATTAAAAAAAGTGCAAATATGAATGAATATGTTATTGCATAGTGGGGAAAAAAGGGTGCAGTTTACACTTAAAATCTTCTTTTTCCTTTTGCTTTTCGGTTTTTCAAAGCAGGTAATGTCTGGAGTGATCCCCAAGTACTTTATTTAAATATGGACTGGATATTGCCTGCCATTTGAGTTGACAGTATATAATGAAAAATTTATCCTAATCTACTGTTTAACTTTGGAGCTAATTATGTTTAGAAATGTGTTAAAAAGGAGAATACTCAAACATTTTAAAAGCAGCTTGATAACAGAGCAGGTGATGTCTTAGATGTTCGTATTTGTGGCACTGGGGTTACATGAAAGGACTTAATATATCATGCCAGACTATATAGGGTTTTTTAAGGTTGGTTTTTTTTTTCCCCAAGATGAGCATGGGATAGATTTTTCTTTCCTAGATAGTGCTAAACGTGCTGTTGTTTTACTATCTTTGATAGCTGAGAAATCTCAAACATGTGCATATGAAAGTAAAGAAATATGTTTCATCTTTTCATATGTTTTCTGTTTAGTAAACAGTCATGTAATAATCTAAACAACAGTCCCATGCCATTTGTCACAGTTCCTTGTAAGGCAGGTCTACAGTCCATGTGAGCAGAAATTCTCATAGTTGAGAAATTTTATCCCGTTACTGATAGAAGTGCTTGTTGGAGCATCCTGTTCTTGCTGTTTGTATGTATACCTTAGGGTTGTGCATCCAGGAGGAACACGTATAGCTCCTCTGTGGTTAAAAATGTGTTTATTCACTTCCCTGCCATCACAGTTGTTGCATTCAAAAGTAATATTTTGGATTTTGAAATTAAGATATATTAAACCTGGAGTTATGTAGTTTGATGGAATATTTTTCTTTTAGCTCGATATTTTGCATCGAAGATGCAATTGTCTTGTTTTTTGTTTGATGTAACTTATGATTATGTAATCATTTACATTTAAACTATGGTTTAATTCTCCTAGGTTGACAGTGAATATTGCTGCAATTGACTATAAGTAAGACTAATCAAAACTGTACTCCAGAGTAGTGTATTCCTGGCTACCCATTATGTGATTATTGTGCTTTACAGTGTTCTGTAATTTTAACCTGAAATTGGCTGAACACATTACTTTTCTTAAAAAATTGTGTCGTATAACAGCCCTAGTGTAGATGACCAAAATACAGCTTTATAATTCTTAAATATAGTTATTTTACAAACTTAATTTTCCTTGACCTTTTTCTTGTATAGTAAGGTACTGTTTTCGTTGACTACCCATTATTTCAAAGTAGAAGATGGAGGTGAAAGATCAGTCTGTGTCACCTTTGGTTTTTTCTTCTTCGTGAAAGCAATGGCAATTCTCATTGTGACAGAAAACTATCTAGAGTTTGGACTGGAATCAGGTAACTCCTTTCTTTAGTGTTTGCAACAGCTCTAGTGATTGCATGACCTGAAAAATTTATTTCCAGTCTTTTAGGTGTTTTTGAGAATATCTGTGTTAAAATGAACTCTATATGTCATATACTTCTAAGACACTTTGCTTTGGAATGCAAATTCTGAAGGGTATCCTGTATATTTTCCCTGCTTTCTTTTAAATAGTGTAATCTTTGCCTAGGTTGTTTGTTTTGTTAATTATATTTGCCTTCCAGTTTTACATTTAACCCATTTTGCCTTTCATAGTAAAGTGAAGCTTCTTTACTGAAGAAAAAAAAAAAAGAAATACTTACGTTTGTAAAAAATAATGTTAATTTTATTCATGTTCTTGAAGTGTACAAATATCAGAAATGTTAATAATCAAGTTTTATTGCATTATGGCATACCAATTAGCACATGAAAGAGCTATGCTAGACATACGAAGATTTGTTTAAAAGATGACCTGGCATTTTATTTCAGAAAAGGGGTTCTGCATTTGTACTGTAATAAAATACATATAATGTATGTGTCTCTGCAGGATTCTCGAATTTCTCAGAAAGTGCTATGCAGTTTCTTGAAAAGCAGGGTTTGGAATCCCAGTAAGTTTCTGGAAATACATTTATCTGTTTTATGTGTGCATTTATAAATGAACCACTTGGATTTTCTTAGCAAGCATGTGTCTTGCATGTTTTGCTCTCGTACATGCTTATAATCTCTATAATAATGTGAAAAGGTGGGTTAGTGAAAATAATTCATCAGTACTCACAAGTAACTTAAGTTGCATTTGTGTTTTCTCTTCTTAATTTGGAGATAGTTTCTACCCTGACATTTTGGTTGTAGTCCATAAAATACGGTTCAAAACTATAAACGTTTTTTTCATGGTAATTCCCATCAGCTTTGCAAGGATTGCTTAAAACAGATGATAGGTATTTTTTGCATTCCTGTGGTATGCAAGAGGATGAGCGTGCAAAAGCTACAGATGGAGCTTGTGATAAAGTTGGCATGAGGAGTAAATTTTGGCATTCAATCCTGTTTTCAGGACTGTTTATAATAGTGTTTTCCTATTGTGCAAAAACATCTGCTTGCTACAGGACATCCAAGTTTTGTATGGGCTGTCAAAGGAACATGCCGTAGCTTGTGATGTTACATAAATAGACAGTCACTGTCGTAGACGGCCTTTGTGTATTGTAAAATGGATTTCTGTTACAATTCTTTCCTTATACACATGCTCTAAAATGCATTTATGGGGTATGTCGTCACTGTGGGACCGCAGCTTTGAATTTCTTCCTTGGAAGTTCTCAAGTATCATGCAGAAGCTATGAAATCTTTATTTTTGAGGAAAAGAAGTTTCCTCAGACTAGATTAGTGTGTCATGAATAAACTCATGGGAAACCCTTAACTGAATCCCATGTATTTCTTAGCCTTTCTTCACTCTGCTTTTCCTAAGCTATTGCAAGTTTACTAACTTTATATTAATTTTCCTGTTAAGTGTTTGCTTATTTTTGAAATTTTGCAGTGCTTTGGCTGTTTACAGCAGAAGTTGAGTTGATGATGGTGTCTTTTGGTAGTTCACATGACGTAGATCAAGAAAGAATCTGAAACTCATGTGGATCACTAGATTTGTTTTTGTTCTCTTTAATCTGTGTTAGTTACGTGTCACTACTTTTTTTTTTTGTGTGTGTGTAATCCAGTGTTTGTTAATTCCGTAATTCAGTTGATCCTGGATATTTTTTTCTGTAATTTTTTTATATAGTCCATAGTTCACTAAAACAAATTATATTAATCACTTGAAAGAGACATGTTAATTGGCCACATGTATGTTTTAGATAAATCTGTGAAAAACTGCAGTAATAAGTTTGATAGAGCTTTTTAATGGATAAAGGTAGAATGTAAGTAGTATAACTTAAATATCCATTTCGTGTTTGACCAGTTAAACTTGTGATGCATCTGTTCCTCTCTTAAAAACATAATCATTAAATTCATTGTTAGCTATTTCTGTTATATAATTTGTTGTTAATTACAAAATAAAATTATTCTTTTTTTGTTCTTTTCTACTAACAAGCTTAACATCTTATAGGCAGTAGCTTAGGTTTTTTGTTTTTCTAGGAAATAAATAGGTGACTTGTTTTTTTTTCTTTCAGCTCCTGATTGGTTTGTAATAGTGCTAGTATTCCAGAGTAAAACTATAGAATACTGTTTGCTTTTTTATTACGTGTTAGATACTGTTGAGTTGAAAGTAGTCTCTGATACCCCACCCCCCCAACTTCCTCCCCAAGAAAATGCTTATTTCCTTTCTTTTCTTTTAGGGGTCCTGTGTCTAAACTAACCTTCAAATTGTTCCTGGCTGTTCTGTGTTCACTTATTGGTGCTTTTTTGACATTCCCTGGCTTGCGACTGGCTCAAATGCATCTGGATGCTCTGAATTTAGCAACAGAAAAAATAACACAGTAAGAGAAAATATATGCACATAGGTATATGCTACTCAGTCTTAAATCTTTAATGTCTGAAAATAAACAAAGCAAACTATTCCAGTAAGAAGGTAGTGACTAAGACTTCTGTTGCTGCCTGCTTTTCGTATCTTGAGCAGACTTGTCACCTGCCTCTGTCTGCTCAACCTGTGCTCTGCCAGCCTGTTACATTCTTTGCCTTGTATTTAGAGTCCCAATTAAAGGAGCTTTCCTTTCCTCCTGCAAGAGCTCCACCATGAATGTTTCTGCTTGCAGCTTCCTTTCCCCCATCATATCTTTTTTTGAAAGTTAAGATAACTTTCAGGATGTAGAGGTGCAACCATGATTTTTTTTTTTCTCCACCCCCACTTCCAGGTGGGCATCATGCCTTTAATAAACTAGGGTAAGTTACAAAGAAAAGATGACCCAGAATATTTAATGAGGGTCAGAAGTTAATACCAGTTTAAAGGAATATTTTCATTTTTAGCTGTCCTTGACTTTGGTAGTAAAATGTTTTTTTCAGATTTAACTATTTCTCTTCAGCATTCTCTGGTTGAGGGAGCAACTCCAAATGCCTTTCATAGATCTTGACCTTTGATGTTTAATACATGTTAATGACAGCACAGGCCATTGTGATCATTTAGTCTGGTCAATTTGCTAAGAGAACCATTGTATTTTCTGATAGGAAAATTATTTATGTTCAAGCTGCATTTTTTTTTCTTTTCCCCCAAAAATGCCCAGCTTAAAATTTAATCTGTGTTTAAAGTGGGTCCTTCACTCTTGGTAAATTTATAACCAAGTACCCTGTGTAACACTTGCACTCATCGTAGTTGAATGCATCCAGATACAGCTGCAAGCTATTGGCTTGTTGTATCTGCTGTTAAGTTTCTATGTGTAGACTGTGACTGAATCACTTCCTAATCTGTTCTTTTCAGCTAAATGAGGTAAACTGCTTAGTTTTTCATTTTTATGGTTCTCAATATTATAAAATTTCTTGTGCCTTATCTGTTAAGTATCCTCTGATTTTCCAACATCTTCCTTGATCTATGGACGTGAGATCCTAGGCAGAAATATAAAATCTCTGAAACAATTTTATTAATCAAGAACTAAAAGGGTAATTAATATCCACTGGAATGAGGTTATGAAAAATAAATCTTCTCTAACTTAATGTTTAGAGGGTACTGGAACTAGTTGATAACTTTGTGCAATACCAAGCAATTTGTTTTCAAAAGTCTACCAATACTTTGACTATTCAACTGGAACAATATAAAAATTACATTAAATGGATTAAAACTTGGTCAGATATCAGTGTAATTAGGTAATGCAATTATAAACAAAGAATCATTGTCAAGTGATAGGGTCTAATTGGCCTGAAGAGATTGGTATTTGGCCTTAGTGATGTGTTTTTTATGAGTGAGTAGATCATTATTGACTGTTTGCAGTTGTTTGACAGTGACTAAAGGGGAGTAGTAGTAAGTGAGGATGATTTGTCACTGATACAAAGCTCTCTAATTTGGGTGCAGGAAAACAGTGCCTTTCTCTGCAGTCAAATACATGGTCTACTTTTTTTTTGGGGGGGGAACAAACCCCAGAAAACCAGACCAAAACAACCCCCCCCAAAAAACAAGAAAAAAAACCACAGAAGAAAAAAAATAGAGGGGACAAGCTCCTTTTCCCATTCCATTACAGAATGGGAGACTTAACTTACAGGGAATACTGACCCCCCCCCCCAAAAAAAAGTAAGCGTTAATGATTAACTACCACTTCACTAGTATGTTCAAAATGATTAATGATAGCTGATTTGATTTTTTTTCTTTAGCAGCAGTATCCTTCCCTGCATATATTTTGGAGTCTTCTTAATCAATTTGTACCATTTTCATAAACATTCCCTCATTTTCCAGAGCCTGCTTCAAGAGTCTTTCAACCTTTCTCCCTGTACTCAAATAAACAGAAAGGGATTCTTGCCACCCTTTGGCACGTTCCAGTCCATTAACTCAGTAGGATGTCTTAAATAAGTAGAATCTCAGGTAAAATGCTTTCACAAGTTGCTAAAATTCTTTGGACTGTTCCTTGATGCTGTCGTGTTCCCTAGCAACACTGAATAACTAGCAGTGCTTATTTCTTCATCTGAAACCAATGATTTAAGTGTGTGTGTGATGACACCTTCTGAAACATGCAAACATTTTCATGGTTTTAGGAAGCTTGATATTTTGAAATCAGTAAGGTCTTGTGTTCTTCAGAATAACTTTTGATTACCTCATTTTTTCTAGAGTGTAGAACACTCTGGTTGGAGATGGAAGTATAGACAAGCTGGTTCTGTTAGTGAGGAAGCATTGCACTAGCAAAACCACCAGATCTACAGCACTGAACTTTTCAACTGTTTTCATTTCAATTTAGTGATGAAAAATGATTGGGATATGGGGTTCAGAAATGAAGAAGGATATTAATTTCAGAAAAAAAAAATCCAGAAAACTATCTCCTCTTTTTAAATTCTGCTGTACAAAAGGGTACTACCTCTACATTAACTGGAGTTTCGTACAATGCTTTTAAAAATAGCTTTGCTGGCTTTTTTTTTTGTCTGAGTATCTTTAATTGAATGTAAGTACCAAGTTTCATTTAGTCAAGGTACGTAAGTAGAAATCTTCATTAAACTGGGAAATCTGACCTCTCAGAACTTCTTCCCCTGGTCTGTATAGATAATGGAAATTAATCTGAGTACTTTTTTAATAAAGCAAAAAAAATAGTAGTATAGCAGCATATTTCCCATAATTATCCATCTGAGATGCTGACTCTCTAGGTTAAAACTGTAATAGCTAGTGCAATTTGGTGTTATGCCATTGTATGGAAATTTTCAACAACTGTCTTTTACTATAGTGCGGCATAATGCAGGTAGCTCCTTTGGTTAGATTGCTTGGAATAAATCAAGTTTTCAGATATTCCAAGAACACTTTTTTCAGCCGCAAAGAGTGTGATTTCACAGTATGTAATATTACTGATTTGTTGAAATGTGAGTCATACCTATAAAATAGGGAAATAATTTTCTTCTTTACCTTTCTTCCAACTATTTTAAAATTTGGATTTCTCCTTTTGAATCTGTACCACCAGTTTCAACAGTATGGTAATTGTTTGTATTTAATAACTTCCCCCCCTTTTTTTTCTTCTTTCAGAACATTGCTACATATAAACTTCTTGGCACCTTTATTTACGGTTCTACTGTGGGTAAAACCAATCACTAAGGACTACATTATGAACCCACCTTTGGGCAAAGAGAGCGTCCCTTTGTAAGATTCCCTTTAAAAATTCTTTCTGGGGTATTGAGAACAAAACCATAAGTCTAAGTAGTGCCCTGTGAAAGTCATAGAAACGTGAAAGATTTAAAATTTAATAGCATCTGCTGTCAAAGGTATTGTGGAAGTTGCAGAAGAGCTGCTGTTATTTTGGAAGAACGAGAATTAATCGCAGAGTGTTGAATGGTAAGGTGGTTGTTCCCAAAAAGCCGCTACCTTCTGGCATCTCCTTGGCAGTGATGGGTTGTTCTTCCTAGGGGTGGAATACCGCCTCACTGCCAACTTCTGGAACCTTGTATCTTACATATTGGTGTAAGAAAGGAGTGGTTTCACTGAAGGCGGTCAAGATACATTGGCATGAGAACTGACCTAAGCAATTTGTCTTAAGATCTGTGTGTAGGTGAAGTGCATATGGAATTGATAGCTAAAATATTTAAAATGTAAAAAGGGAAAGAATTTTCAGGAGGAGTGGTATCTGAAATAAATACTGTATAAATAGCATGGGTGATTGCCATTGTCACTATTAGTCTATATAATTCAAAATAGTAGTATTCAAATAAACTTGAAATGGATATGATTGGCTGACACTTTTATTGCTTTCTAGGCCTAAGATATTCTAAGGTGATTCTGTGACCACTGAACTATTACGTAGAACATTGCACATATACGTATTTTGTGCTTCCATTTTGTTCCTTAGTTTATCTTAAAATGAGGGTTGTGCTGTAACAGGGTATCTAAGGCAACTGAAGTACACATTTGCTGTCTAGAACCTGTGATTATCTGAGTGAGCTTGTCTTTTAGTGTCCTGTCTTCATTACTCAGAATTTAAGCATTTAAGAGCTGTTTGTGTTTACAGGCAAATGGATACTAATTTGGATCTAATGCTGTAATAGGGCTACTAAGAAGTAGGGGTAGAGAGGGAAGCAGAGGGCGAAAGTGAATACTACTTGCACATGAACTTCATAACTGTAGATTGTGTGTTAAGTATTTTTGACAACACGCTGCAAGATTTCTTTACGGATGATACAAACAAATAACTCTGTAGCAGTAGGTGACCTTTGGAAAACAGCATTACCCTTTTTTTTTTATCCACAGAATGTCAGAAGATACTTTTGACACCGTGAGGTTGTGGATTATAATCCTGTTGTGTGTTTTACGGTTGGCTATGATGCGTCACCATTTACAGGCCTATCTGAATTTAGCTCAGAAAAGTGTGGATCAGATGAAAAAGGAAGCTGGCAGAATAAGTATGGTTGATTTACAGAAAATGGTAAGTATGGTGTCACTGAGGTTACATATTTGGAGTGGTCTGTCTGTACAAATGCTTTTTTTCCAGTTTGTTATGTCTTCTTTGGCACCAGAGCTGAGATCTGAATGAAACTTCCTAAAGTATATCTCCTATAAAAGTAGCACCATTACAGAGAAATTCTGTAAACCAAATTATGCAGAGATGTATCGTCCATATTATGCAGATGGCTTGTCTAAAGTTATTTGGAAGTTGTTATAAAAGATCCTTTCATGAATTGTTCTTTACAAATATGATGTGTGTCTGTTCAGCGTGAATAGATCTTGCGGAGTGCAGAGGGTGAGTGGTGATCTGTAGCTACAACATGGGGGAAAAAAAAAGTTGAATTTAGATAGAACGGTAAAATACTGTTACCTAATCCCAAGTATGATTTTTAAATTGAGGCAAAATTTAAGATAAAGTGATTATATTTTGGGATAAAATGAGACATGTTTAATTCTGTCAGACCACTCTCAAGTGCACTAGCCTAGTTACAAAACTGTCTGCCCGTGTTGTTACTGTGGCAAAGGAAAAAATTATTTATTTATTTATTTAAAAAGAAAAGTAATAAAACATACCATCAACAAACTGAGGAGGTAGAAATTTGTAAGCTTGTTGTAAAATGGTGTTTTGTGTTGCCTGCAAAATAGACTTACATTTCTAGTGTTGCATGATAGTGCTGCCTGATGATCTTGCTGAGTTGGGGTGCATTGCAGGAGGAATATTGAAGTATGCCATAAGACAAAGATTCCTCTCTTAGGATTGTCACTATTACTTGTAATCTTGTCCTTGGCTTCACTGAGTATCTGAAGGTCATAAATGAACTATGCAGTAGTTATTTACAAACAAAGTGGCTAGCAGTTCGCTTCAGAAAACAGGTTAGGAAATACAGGTAGCAGCAACTGGTTAGGACAGAACTGTGCTGATTGCTGTGAATGCATAATTTTAGTTCTGGGAGCTTTCATCCTACCTATAAAACAATAATGTCTTCTCTATGCTGTGTTTCCTAAATCAGTTTATGCAGTATCTCCGTATCTTCTCTTTGAGGCGGCCCTAGCGACTACATGAAGTCCTGTCTTGTTTTGCTAGCCATGTCTGCTTTATTTTCTTCTGGAACTTCTGCCAGTAAAGTCTTTTCTATCTGTCATCCTACAGTGATCATTACTTTTTAATTTGTTATTTTTACCATATTCCATCAATTATCTTACAATATTTTTTGTCTCATGCTTTTTCTTCTGTCAGTGTCTTACTACTTCTTCTTCTCATGTTAGTTTTTTTGATGCTTGCTCATCACAAAGCCCTTTGAGGTTTTAGAGGTATTTCCAAAAATGTCATGTCTGCCTTCATCTTTTTTGCCACCCTGTATTCTGTTCTTTTCTAAAATCCAGTCAGCTTTATTTCATTTCTTGCTTGCTATTGATTTTATGACTTTTTTCCTTCTTTATTTGGTCTAGTCTTTTAGGTCAATAGCTTATATAAAATAGGTAATGTAACAATCTTGAGAAAGATGGAACAGATTGGGAGCAGGGGGAGGGATAAATGAGTGGATTTCAATGAACCATAATGTATACCTGAAATAAAGACCATTTAAATGCTGTTATTGATCAACTACTAATGAAAAATCATCTTGTCATTGTTTTTAAACAATGGACATCTTAAAAATATTTTGCTTTTGAGAAGGGACTGCAATAGTAACCAGACTTTCATTTCCTTTTTATGAGGCTTTGGACTGTGACTACTACTTCATTTTTCAAACGGGATTGAGTTTGTAAATCACTGGAGATTTAAAAAATTAAACATATATTTAGCTTTGATTCTGGTATATTGAAATAGAAATCTTTGAATGATGACATGCTGTTTGCAGAAGCAAAATTGATTCTGTTTGTTTTAACAGAACTGATGCTTTTAGTTATTTCCTTTCAGCACTTCCTCTCAGATTTGTAAATGTCCTGAAACTAGAGTTCGTTATAGGGGTTTCTTCATTCGGTCTTTTGAAGACAGTATGTCACATGCCAAGAAGTGCTAGAAAACTTTTAAAACTGCTTTAATACATAACTACTGGTTTTTTTAATAAATTGCTTGTTTTTTGTAGACATGTTCATAAAGGTTTGCTTTGATCAGCCAGAACTCATGAATTACTCTCTTCTGTTTTCCCAGGTGGCTCGGGTATTCTATTATCTTTGTGTAATTGCACTGCAGTATGTTGCACCATTGGTAATGCTCCTTCACACAACTCTGCTCTTGAAAACCCTAGGTAGGCAAAATTGGATCAACAAAAATGTGTTCTGTTCTACACAGGGCTTTTATACTTTCAGATTACTAAAGAGAATTAGAATGTATGGGTACTTGCAATACAGAAATATATTGTAGTTCCCTGCAATTTAAAACATACTCATGTGCGGCTTTTAAGCAGTTCTCTTCTGTTGCTGCTTTTGACATCTTTCAATTATCTGCTAATTTGTTTATTTCTGAGAAACTGTGTAATACAACCAATTAAGCTGTTTACTTCTGTTGAAATATTTGTCTTTTAAAAGGTATTTTAAAAGTGAGTTGTATAAAGCATTGTTGATTTAACCTTATGAGCATCTGTTAATGTGTTTTCAGCTTTTCAATCTTAAGTAGGCTTTTTGAACGGAAATGGTGAGATATGGGGTTCATTTCATTATTGGGAGATCTGATGTCACTGTGGGTGGTTGTGGGGTGTTTTTTTTTTCTTTCTTTCTTGTGAGGGATGTCTTTCACAGCCTGCCATGCAGTTGTGGCATTTTTTTTGCAAAATGTCAATGGAAAGAGATAGGCTTTGTTAGGCTGTGATTCATCCCATTCTGGAGTAGACATCTACATCTGGTGGGATGAATCATACCCAGCACTGACAGGGGTCCCAAGGCAACTGTGTCACATGTAGGTGTTAAGATGTCAAAAGGTAAGATGAATCCTACCCTAATAGTTTACTAGTATGATCAGGAAGCCATGCTGATTAATACAGTTAGTATTTATTAAGTTATAAAAACTACAATTTTTTTGTGTGTGTGTGAAAAATATATATAAGATGATCTATAGAGTGATAGAAATAATAGAACTTGAATTTATTTCTACAAAAACCTGTTACTCGTTTCTTTTTAACAGGTAATTATTCTTGGGGTATCTACCCGGAATTGAATTCTGACACTCCAGTAGAAAACAGTCTGCTTCCCAGTTCAGTTTATTCTGAGTCTCCACCTGCTGATGGAAAGATGAAAGTAACTGTAGTACAAATTACAATGGCTTTGGGAAGCCTAAAGAATATTTTCACTCCTCTCCTGTTCCGGGGACTCCTGTCTTTCCTCACCTGGTGGATTGCTGCTTGCCTCTTTTCTACAAGCCTTTTTGGGCTTTTCTATCACCAGTACCTGACTGTGGCATGAACAGGTCAACTGACAAAGCAAGTGTGAGGTCAAATAGTAGATACAAACCCAGGTACCCAAGAGGAGACGAAGAGAAAAGAAGAAAACTATATATGAAGAGAAAACATATCAGAATTTTTTTTAAACACTTCCTCTGTGTTCTCAGGGTGAATATTCTTATAAAGTTTAAAATCACAACTGGGTTTGTTATTTTTGTTACCCAAATGGTAGGTAACTAATTGAACTATAGTATCGGGACTGACTGACGTTATTGTGTGGCAGGCGGTGGTGAGCGTGCTGAAAAGATACGACCTCTGAGTATCTTGGTTTCCGTAAACAGCAAGCCAACCTCAAAACTTTGTGTTTTAAGCATCAACAGTCAGTGACTAAACTGTGTTAGAAGGGTACTGGTTATAGTGGTGGTGGCTGCCTATCGATTAAATCTTGAAACTGAGCCATACAATGGAAGGAGAGAGGGGATTTAAAAAAAAATACTCTGTTGGATAGCTATCGATCACTTTTCTCCATGAAAAATGAAATAATCCAACAGGACAAAAAAGATACTGTATATTACAGTAAGAAAAGTTGTATAAAATTTAAATTTAACAGGAATAGATGTATGGACATGGCAGGTATTGCTGCCT